CTAAGACTTCCTCAAGTCTCAAGTACCGGGAGTCTCATATGTAATATGATATCCCACGAATGGGTCAGCTCAACTNTACATATAAAATATGTCCAATGACCAAATATACATTCAAGTTCATTTCCTCTCCTTCCTCTAAGACTTCCTCAAGCCTTAAGTACCGGGAGTCTCATATGTAATATGATATCCCACGAATGGGTCAGCTCAACTGCTGGTATGACAAAGTGCTAACGCTAGAAACAAATTTAAGGCATGACATGTGCAAGTGTACATTTTTAAAAGCTACAACCCCATAATTTCTTAATGATATGCAATGTCAATATGCATGACACACCCATGCAACTCTATGTCACCCATGTCTCACTTCACGGTCCGCCCCCATCAGCCCGCGAGTACTGTCATTAACTAGATTTTAGATTTTTCACCACAGGATCTATACCATCATAATGCATAGCACTAAGTGCTCAACCCACATTATGTTCCAAGGATTCATGTATGTCAAGATGTCATGATTTTTCTCAATGTAAATTCTATGAAACNTGGCCAGATTTTAGATTTTTCACCACAGAATCTATACCCTTATAATGCATAGCACCAAGTGCTCAACCCACATTATGTTCCAAGGATTCATGTATGCCAAGATGTCATGATTTTTCTCAATGTAAATTCTATGAAACATTTCATCAAACACCTTATCTGCATGAATATGAAGCATCATTTAATAGATTAAATATATGATCAAGCTTCATATTCTTATGAAATATTTCATCAAACACCTTATCTACATAAATGTGAAGCACCATTTAATGGATTTAAACATATGATCAAACTTCATATTNTGTAAAGCATCATTCAATAGATTAAATATATGATCAAACTTCATATTCTTATGAAATATTTCATCAAACACCTTATCTACATAAATGTGAAGCACCATTTAATGGATTTAAAAATATGATCAAACTTCATATTCATTACTTTCACAATTTCTCAAAAAAACTACAAAAACACAAACTACCAACTCATGTAATAAATCATAACTCTCAAACCACAAGAGTTTCTCTACATGAACATAAGTTATAATATAATAATCCAACACATAAGCAATATACACCTTCACCATAGCAACAAATTATCAAGAAANAAATATGATCAAACTTCATATTCATTACTTTCACAATTTCTCAAAAAAACTACAAAAACACAAACTACCAACTCATGTAATAAATCATAACTCTCAAACCACAAGAGTTTCTCTACATGAACATAAGTTATAATATAATAATCCAACACATAAGCAATATACATCTTCACCATAGCAACAAATTATCAAGAAACTCAAAAAATATAAAAGTACTTAGACCACTAATTCTAAGTTTTCAAAGCAACTACCAACTAAATGATTNAAAATAAAAAAGTACTTAGACCACTAATTCTAAGTTTTCAAAGCAACTACCAACTAAATGATTTTCTAACATCAAGTAAACATTTAAATCATTCAATCAACACATAGGAAGGCAAGAAAACTTAAATCTATTCCTAACTTATCAAAATATCATACCTAAAATGATTTTTCTGAAACCAAGGAAGTTGTGTTTGCTTTATAGCCGAACTGATCGGTGAGAATATAGCTCTTGTTGAGAAGAACAACTTCTTAGAAGGAAGTCTTGCAAGAATCTTGGCCTAGAATTGAGTTTTGATGACTTGAAGTTTGAAGAATTTAGGATTTTTCTTCTCTTTTCCTCCAAAAATGTGTACTGACCCTTTTCAGCCCAAAAATACTGATATTTTTACACTAAGGGGCTATATTTATAGTGGAGGGCAAAGGTGCAAAAAGACCCTTTTGCCCTTGATGAATTTGGGACCCCGTTACACTACAACTCGTCTCGAAACACCTCAATTCGATATTTTTTTTAACCAAAATTCTTAAAATTATTTTAAATGAAAATTTTCAAAAAAATTTATTTTCGCTAGTGGCCGGGTTTGGCCGGTCCCACCTAGGCCACCCGGGATACCCTTTCGGTCCAATTTTTGAAATTATTTTTATTTTAGTTCAAATTCGCACAGTATGTGTATTTTAACATTCTAAGCATGTTTCTCTTCTATGATATACTCAAATTATGCTCCTAAATATGACTTATACCTAAATAATGTATATATAGTGTCCTACCGACAAATGGTGCATGAATAGTACCCTACCAGCAAAACTGAAAAATTTATCCTTACTTTTCAAATCTCTACATCTTGATTTGAGGGATGACAACACTTTGGAGAGAGGGGAACCAGTAGAAGAACTTTGGCTAGTAGCAGTGGATGAGAGCCTTCCAGAGAAGATAGTCTATATAGGAACCTTACTTTCCAAGAGCAAGCATCCGACCTAGTAGACTTTCTCAGGTGGAATACGGATGTCTTCGCCTAGTCCCATGAAGATCTGGAGGGCATCGACCCCGAAATAGCCTCCCACTGACCTAAACGTCGATCTCAGCTACAAACCCGTCCGCCAAAAATTGAGGAATGTGAGTACTAAGAGAGGCTAAGCCACAAAAACGAAAGTGGATAAGCTATTGAAAAACACGTCAGTAAGGGAGATAGCCTATCCAGACTGGCTAGCCAACGTAGTGATGGTTACGAAGGCCAATGGGAAGTGACGCCTCCGTGTGAACTTCACGAAGCTCAATAAAGTCTATCCCAAAGACAACTATACTTTCTCACCCTTCAATCTCTTAATTGATGCCACTGCGGGACGCGAACTCCTGAAGTTTGTTGGATGCTTACTCCGGGTACAATTAGATTAGCATGTTTCCTCCAACCAGGAAAAAATTTCATTCATCACCTCGAAGGGCACACATAGACGATATGTTAGTGAAGAGTATGGTCGCGACAGACCATGTGACACACTTCTAGGAGACCTTTGATGTACTGAGAGCCTTCATGATGAAGCTGAATATTGAAAAGTGCGCCTTTGGTGTTAGTTTAGAAAAATTCTTAGGCTTCATGGTCAACAAAAGGGACATTGAGGCCAACCTAGACAAGATCATAGCCATCTTGGAGATGAAATCCCCAACATCTGTGAAAGAAGTCCAGCACCTTAACAGGAGGATTGTAGCCCTCAACAAGTTTAACTAAAAGTCAGCAGACAAGTGCCTACCTTTCTTTAAGATCCTCTGCAAATCTTTCCAGTGGGAGCTAGATGCAGAGGAAGCCTTCCAGAAGCTAAATGCCTACCTCGTCACACCACTCTTACTCTCCCATACTGTACCAGGAGAGACCTTGTATCTTTACCTCTCATCTTCATCCTTTGTCGTGAGCTCTGTCCTTGTCCGGGAGGATGGAGGCATCTAGAAGCTTGTGTACTACATAAGCAGGGCATACCGAGGGGTAGAGATAAGATACTCGGGGCTTGAAAAGTTAGCTCTCGCACTTATCACCACCGCTAGGCATTGACGCCACTATTTTTCAGAGCCATATCATCATGATTGTTATAAGTCTATCACTCAAGAGAATTTTGGGAAAGGCTGATGTGTCCGACCGAGTACTGAAGTGGGTCATCGAGTTAAGTGAGTTCGATGTGCAGTACCAACCGAGGGCGGCCATCAAAGCATAAGCACTTACGGACTTCATGGCCGAGTCTACATCGCCACAGAAATCCCAGGAGTCTACACCACTATAGGAGTCCTGAGAGAAAGCATCACGCACCCCAACGCTCACTTACTGAGTACATAATGTCTCTACCCACCATGAGGCAACCCGAGACATTATCCCGAGAAGGCCCGAGATCTCGGAGACAGCTCCATAGGCCCTAGAAGACTACACTCTGAGACTAAAGGCGCCCAACTCCCTTGTGCCTACTCCACCTGAGCCCTTCGCGCCCCTTGCTACCGTCTACTATACCAGGTTGGAAACTCTACTCAGATGGGTTCTCCACCAACGAGGGCGACGGCACAGGACTAGTGCTGATCAGCCCCCATGACATTCCACTCAAGTACATTGTCTCCCTCCACTTTGCAACATCAAACAACCAAGCTGAATATAAGGCTCTTATATCAGACTTGAAGCTCACACTGGAGATCGAGACCCTCTGCCTGACAGTCTACAATGACTCACAACTAATAGTTAACTAGGTAAAGAGAGACTTTGAGCTGAAAGAGGAAAGAATGCAAGATACCTGTCAGTAGTTCAGGCCTTGTTAAAAGGGTTTGCCTACTTCCAAATCCACCATGTGCCCCAAGAAAAGAACTCCATGTCAGATGCCTTCGCCAAATTCACGTCTGCCAACATGCTCATGGGGCCAGTATTGACAGGTCAACAGTTCGAGCCAAGCACTTTCAAGACAGAGAAGGATGATGTTAATTGTACATCCTCTGAGGTCAACTTGATGACACCTATCCGAGTCTACCTAGAGGACGGTGCTCTCCTGGACAACCCAGTAGAAGCAAAAAAGTTGAGGATGAGAGCGTCCAGGTATGTCATCCTACGCAACACACTCTACAAAAAGAGTTACTCATTATCACTACTCCGCTGTCTTATCCCCAAGGAAGTCGATTATGCCATGAGGGAGATCCACGAGGGAATATGTGGAAATCATTCAGGATGGCGTGCACTAACCCACAAAAGAGTAAGACAAGGTTATTATTGATCTAGCCTAATCAAAGACGTCCAAAAATTTGTCAAGAAATACGATAATTATCAACGCTTCGCAACTGTAATAGGCAGCCACAATGATACACAACTATAAAATGACTCTCGTATATGTAAAGAGAATTCATTGTCCACCAAAGTCCCAAATCTGTACAATCCACAAATGAATGGAGCCACAATTTTGATTGATAACAAGACGTATAGAGTGGCATTTAAGACTTGAGACCATTAGAAAATAAAGTCTCCCAGGTAGTGGTCGGGCTAGTCCATCGTACGTATGGAACTATTCATGCATGGAATCTCTTCCACTTGCGTAACCTTTGTTCTTGAAAAGTAAAGATAAGTCTTAGGGGGGAAGAAAAATGCAGAAGAAAGTCTACCTCTGTGCTTTAAGAAGAGTAAAGTGAATGGCTAGAATTGATGATTACAGCGAATGACCGACCTCTGTACTAAGATTAAAACCCAAACCACTTAGTTGATTTTCACAGGCTCTGCGAGGAAGACGAAGAAGATCAGGAATGGTTCAATGGATCAGGTTCTCTCCAGCATAATCAGATGTATATATGTTGAAGTAGACGATGAAAATCCAAGTGAGTCATACCATCAAGTTTCTCTGGCAAGTCAGGTATCAAGCAATACTAGTGGTCCATTGCTTCAACCCCCACTGTTTTCTCCACCCTCCATAGACTCTTGCAGTGATTCATGTCCGGTTCTTCCATTGAACCCTCCATTTATTGTAAGCATACATGGGGATTCAATCACAAACGATGCTTTCTATGATCAAAAGCAGCTACATTTTCGACAGTGCTTGGACGACTCACACAGTGACCCAAGCACAAATGGTGTATTTTTCCAAGTTCTTAGTTCAGCACCAAGCTCTGAGACACTGAGCGATTCAAGCGAACTAGGTGAGTTGATGATACCAAGCGTAGACTCACTAAGTTCTTCTGGTTCTAATGACCCATTTGATTCAACTATAGTTGTCGTTATGAAAATTCAAAATGCGGAAGAAAAAAGAGAAATTACACAAGCTCTGTCACAGTCACAGCTAAACTCGAAAGAACTTGGAGGAGAAGATGAAGAAACAAAAGAAGAGAAGGTGAGCAATGGTTTAGTGGAAAGAGAGAGATGGATAAAGCATTATAGTAGTTACCACAAAATACTAATAGTGGGTGAAGGGGACTTCTCTTTCTCAGCTAGTTTGGCCTTGGCTTTTGGTTCTGCAACTAATATGACCGCTACTTCTCTTGATTCTGAAGGTGAAATCTCTTTATTAGTCTCCTCTGCTAACAATGTATTGATGGGGTAACTATCTATATAGGACAAATATACATCTAGGCACTCTGTCTATTACTATTCTTTCTCCCGATTAGAATATATTTGCAAAGAATCGAAATTGTTAGGCGATTATTGAGATGGATCATGTTGGATCAGAGATAACTCTTTTCAATAATGCTTCTTATATGACATAATTTTCCAGGAAAATGCATGCTGTGAACCCTGCCTAGCCTAAATAATTGCTTGTTTGTGCTCTGCAAACTGATCATGCATGGTTTAAAGTCTGATTGTATACTACCTTCCGAAAAAAAAGTCTGATTTTATTGTGGGATATGAGTTGGGATGTTCAGGGTTTTTGAGCAGAAATTATTGGAATGCTATGTCAAACATCCAGAACTTAAGGAGTAGAGGGTGCAAGGTCATGCATGGAGTAGATGCTACTGAAATGGCAAACAATTTCTTGTTCAAGGGAGAGATATTTGATCGCATAATCTTCAATTTCCCTCTTGCTGGCTTCTTCTCGAATGAATCACGCGAAGCCCAGCTAAGGTCTGTCAATATCTTGCTTCCTTCCTTCAACTCAATATATACTTCGAGTGGTTGTGTGTGTGTGTGTTGAAACTTGAAAGTATAATTCTAATATCATGCTTTCTTGCAGCCGACACAGAAGACTTGTAGGCCTGTTTCTGGAAAATGCTAGTGAGATGATCAGCGAAAATGGTGAAATTCACATTGCCCACAAGTCAAATGGCTTCTTCCGTGAATGGAACTTACCACTTTTGGCATCTAAATGCGGCCTTCTACTTATAGAAGAGCAGCATTTCGATTTCACCGATTATCCAGGATACAGAACCAAATACGGGTTTGGTGGCGACAAAAATTTTCACAGCCATCCTAGCAAAATTTACAAATTTGGACTTTGGAACTGCCAAAAATTCAGCTTGTAAGCTAGCTGCAGAATTATGATTTGACTTGCTTCAAGTTTCTATGATGAAATGGTGTTAATGATAGGTAACATTATACTCGAGAACATAGGGGAAATTGTCTCCTGGTTGTATGATATGTGGATATGGCTATTCCCTCGTACCAACCACAACACAACATAATGAAACCATATAATTTTGGACGCCTGTACACTACATATGTATGCATTTTTCTCTATGCTCAGAGAGGCAGAGGCGACCCATCGCTGCAAATATGCTTAACTGGTTGTCTCCGGACGAGTTTGGTAAGGAAAATGTTGCACAAGTACACAATTGTATGGGATGATTTTCGTACAATCACTCAAATGTTAAATGTGCCCCCCTAATATTAGAATATCATTTGGTTAATTAGCTGCAAAATTAGAGAGAGGTAATGCCGGGGGTAGCCCTTCTGATGTATAAGTCAGTATTGCGATCAATAACCAAACAAACAAGTGTATAAACTAAGAAAATGATAAGAATTTGCGTGTGAGGTATGGAGCACTCCTACCTATGGGGTTTCACTCATATTTATAGAGAAAGAGAGATACTTATTATACTCATTTTTTATTAGTGGAGTTAGTTAAAAGCTGATATTTCTTTCTTGGAATTTAGCCCATATTAAAAGTATACATAGAATGACAGATCTTTAATTGTCATTATAATGCTAATTGGATCATAAGTAGATCAAATATTAGTATAAAAACTTAAATTAATCAAATATGACGTGAGAGACTCTCCTTCAAATAATCGGTCCATCACCTCATTGGTCTCTCAAGCTGGAAGTCTAAGAGGCTTCTCTCAACCAACAGATTGACATGGGTCATTTATCCGAAAATTCATAGGAAGCAGAAAAGGGTAATTATTGAGAGTAGTGAATTTGAAGAGACATGAATCACAACAATGGTTTACATTCTCAATGCAAATTCAATTCATTCACTTCATCAAATTTACATTTAAAATAAAAAAAAAAATTATATTTTTTTAAATCAACACCAAATTAACATACAATTTTATCCAACTAATATTCAATTTATCAAATTAATACCAAATCAACATTCAATTTCATCTAATAAATATTCAATTTATCAAATAAATAATTAAATTCAATTAGTTAACACTAAGATTTATCAAATTAACATTCAATTTCATCAAATTGACACCAAATTAACATTCATTTCATCCAATTTATATTCAAATTCATTCAATTAACGCCCAATTCATCAAATTAATATCTACAATAATCCAATAATAATACTTTTATCCATAAAGTATGGAAGTTTTGTCAGTTTTATCCCTAAAGTATTAATTTGGTCATTAAAGTATTCAATTTGTGTTTAGAACATTCAATTTTATCTAATAACCATTTAATTCTTTAAATCAAAACAAAATTAACATTCAATTTAATAAATTAACATTCAATTTCAACTAATAAATATTCAATTAACGAAATTAATATTCAATATCAACTATTTAACATTAAATTTATCAAATTAATATTTAATTTCATTCGATATTGATTTTCTAAAATGGGTTAATACACTCTTTTATCCCTAAATTATGGATATTTTATCAGTTTCATATCTAAAGTATCAATTTTATCTCTAAAATATTTAATTAACAGACAATTAGCAAATTGATATCACTTTAACATATTATTTTGGTGTTAAATTGATGAATTGAATATTAATTAGATGAAATTGTATGTTACTTTGGTGTTAATTTGATAAATTGAATCTTTATTGTTTGATTTGGAAAGTTAATTCAATAATTGAGTGTTAATTGAATGAAATTAAAAGATTGTTTGATTAATTTAATGTTAACTAATTGAATTTGAATGTTAATTTAGTGTTAATTTGATAAATTAAATTTTAATTAGATGAAATTATATGCTACTTTGCTGTTGATTTAATAAATTGAATATTTTTTAATTAAATTTATTTGTTAATTTGATTAATTGAGTGTTAATTGGATGAATTTGAATATAAATTCAATGTTAATTTGGTGTTAATTTAATTTATTTAATATTAACTTGTTGAATTTGATTGTTAATTTAATGAATTAAATGCTTACTAGATAAAATTGAATGTTAATTTGGCGTTAAATTGATGAATTGAATGGGTTTTTGGTCAAATGGTACTCTTTGTCTTGTGATCTTGAGGTCAAGAGTTCAAGTCCCCTCCCTCTTCCCTCATTCCCCTAAAAAAAAAATATTAATTAGATAAAATTATATGTTACTTTGGTGTTGATTTGATAAATTGAATCTTTATTGTTTGATTTAGAAATTTAATTCAATTAATTGAATGTTAATTGAATGAAATTAAAAATTTGTTTGATTAATTTAATGTTAACTAGTTTAATTAGAATGTTAATTTAATGAATTAAATGCTTATTAAAAAAATTGAATGTTAATTTGATCAATTAAATTTTAATTGGATGAAATTATATGTTACTTTTGTGTTGATTTGACAAATTGAATATTTTTTAAATAATTTTAGATGTTAATTTGATTAATTAAGTGTTAATTGAATGAATTTGAATGTAAATTAAATGTGTTAAATGTTATTAAATTTTTAATTTAATATTAACTTTTTAAATTTTATTGTTAATTTAAGGAATTAAATACTTATTAGATGAAATTGAATGTTAATTTGGTGTTAATTTAATGAATTAAATATTAATTAGATGAAATTGTATGTTACTTTAGTGTTAAATTTATGAATTGAACATTAATTAGATAAAATTGTATGTTACTTTGCTATTAATTTGATAACTTTAATTTTTATTGTTTGATTTGAAAAGTTAATTCAATGAATTTTGAGTTAATTGAATGAAATTAAAAGTTTGTCTGATTAATTTAGTGTTAACTACTTGAATTTGAATGTTTATTTAATGAATTAAATGCTTATTAGAAGAAATTGAATGTTAATTTGGTGTCAATATGATGAATTGAATATTAATTTGATAAATTGAATGTTAATTTGATAAATTAATTTTTAATTGGATGAAATTACATGTTACTTTAGTATAGATTTGATAAATTGAATATTTATTAAATAATTTTGGACATTAATTTGATTAATTGAGTGTTGATTGGATAAATTTGAATGTTAATTTGACATTAATTTGATTAATTTAATGTTAACTAGTTGAATTTGAATGTTAATTTTATGAATTAAATACTTTTTAGACAAAATTGAATGTTAATTGGATGAAAATTGAATGTTAATTTTGTGTTAAATTGATGAATTAAATATTAATTAGATGGAATTATATGTTGCTTTCGTGTTAATTTGATAAATTAAATGTTTATTGTTTGATTTCGAAAGTTAATTAAATGAATTGAGTGTAACTGAATAAAATTAAAAGTTTACTTGATTAATTTAACGTTAATTAGGTGAATTTGAATGTTAATTTAGTGAATTAAATACTTATTAGAAAAAAAAATTGAATGTTAATTTGATAAATTAAATTCTAATTGGATAAAATTGCATCTTACTTTGGTGTTGATTTGATAAATTGAATATTTATTAAATAATTTTAGATGTTAATTTGATTAATTAAGTGCTAATTGGATGCATTTGAATATAAATTAGATAAATTGAATGTCAATTTGGTGTTAATTTGATTAATTTAATGTTAACTATTTGAATTTGAAAGTTAATTTAATAAATTAAATGCTCATTAGATAAAATTGAATGTTAATTTGGTGTTAAATTGTTGAATTGAATATTACTTAGATGGAATTGTATGTTATTTTGGTGTTAATTTGATAAATTGAATTGTTATTGTTTGATTTGGAAAGTTAATTCAATAAATTGAGTGTTAATTGAATGAAATTGTAAGTTTGTTTGATTAATTTAATGTTAACTAGTTGAATTTGAATGTTAATTTAATGAATTAAATGCTTATTAGAAAAAATTGAATGATAATTAGATGAAATTGAATGTTAATTTGATGAATTGAATACTAATTTAATGAATTGAATGTTAATTTGATGAATTAAATTTTAATTGGGTGTAATTACATATTAATTTGGTGTTGAATTAATAAATTGAATTTTTTTTTAAATAGTTTTGGATGTTAATTTGATTAATTGAGTGTTAATTAAAAAAATTTGAATATAAATTAGATGAATTTCATGTTAATTTGATGTATTTAATGTTAACTTATTGAATTTGATTGTTAATTTATTGAATTAAATGCTTATTAAATAAAATTGAATGTTAATTTGATGAATTGAATATTATCCAATCCATAGTAATATTACCTCCAAAAGATGGTAATTTATCTCAAAAAATGTTAATTATACCCAAATAGTTTTGTTCTTACCGAATCAGTGGCAACGTTTGGGCAAATATTGGTAACTTGGTGGTAATTTTATTAAAAACGTGGTAACTTGCTCCTAAAAAATGGTATTATTACCCAAAAGTTGTAATCTATTATTAGTAGTTTAGTCAAATAATTGTTAAACTTAGCTATGAAGAGTGGTAATCTTATTCAAAAAAGTGGTATTTTTACAAAATAAAATTGATAATATTACACTCAAAAAATTGTATTATTACACTCAAAAAAGTTGTATTCTAACAAAAAAAAATGTAATGCTAACAAAAAAAAGTGGTACTCTTACCTTAACGGTGGTAATATTTCCTTTAAAAAGTGATATTCTTCCTTAAAAATTGGTAATTTTTCTCAAAAAAAAAGTGATATTCTTGCCTAAAAAATTGGTAATCTTACCAAATAAAAGTAATAATGTTACACCCAAAAAATTATATTTTTACACCCAAAAAAATTGTATTTTAACAAAAAAAGTGGCTAAGTTAACCAAAAAAAGTAGTACTCTTACCTCAAGGTAAGTGGTAATCTTNCCAAAAAATTGTATTCTAACAAAAAAAGTGGCTAAGTTAACCAAAAAAAATAGTTAACCAAAAAAAGTAGTACTCTTACCTCAAGGTAAGTGGTAATCTTGCCCTCCACAACAAGTGGTAATCTTCCCTAAAAAATGGTTATCTTATCAAAAAAATAGTGATAGTCTTACCTTAAAAAGTGACAATCTTATCAAAAAAAATTGTATTCTTACCAAATAAAAGTAATAATATTACACCAAAAATTTGTATTCTTACACCTGTATTCTAATCCAAAAAAAGTGGTAATGCTAACCTAAAAAGTAGTACTTTTACCTCAACAATGATAATCTTACCCAGGGACGACTCAAGACAATTTGAGGCCTAAAATGATAATTCATTTTGAGGCCTTTTTATTTTTAGTGTTAAAAATTTTGATTAAAATTAATTCTTTTCATTTTTTGAGTTGTAAAAGTATAAATTAAGTTTTTATATTTAAATTTTGTTATCATATTTTTTTCAGTGATAATATCGCTAATCTAATTATTTTTTCTTGTGATAGTTGATTTTAAGTAAGATTTTATCAATTTTAATTTTGAAAAACTTCTTTTTGTAGAAGTACCTATTACAAAACTTAATAATAATATTCTATAAGAAATGCATACGTTTGAAGAAAAAAATCTAATGTTTTTATATAATTTGGTGTCTCAATTGAAGTATTTTCTTTCATTTATAAAATCTTCTTTAAAATATTTTATTTTTAAAATAAAACTAAACTATCAATGTCAAAAAAATGTTATGTTTTAAGAAACATCCGAAATCAAGATAAAATTTTTTAAACTATCAACTTTTAATAATTTTATTTTTTAAGTTAAATAAACAATCAAAAGAAAAATTTTATTTGAAATTGATATGACGAGAGAGTGATTGAGAATGAAAATGAAAGGGGGGGCTTTATAAAGAGAGAGAGAGAGAGAGAGAGGGAGAGAGAAAGAAAGAGAGAGAGGAGATGTGGTTAATAATAGATTGATGAATTATGACTTGACTTTTGAGTATACCATTAATTTTTTTTAATAAAATTTTAATTTTTGATTGATCTTAAATTTTAACTAAGGGTTTTTTGGTAGGACTTATAATTTTCGTGGACTTAAAATTTGAAATGGGCCAACTATTTACCTAAAACTATGACGTCTTCTAAAATTATGGGCCTAAAGCCCAAGCTTTTTTGCTTGTATAGTTTGGCCGGCCTGATCTTACCCTAAAAAAATGGTAATTTTCTCTAACAAATGGTAATCTTACCTCAACAGTGTAATCTTACCCTCAATAAGGAGTAATCTTATCTAAAAAAAAGTTGTAATCTTATCAAAAAAATTATAACCTGCCATACAATTAATATTCTTATTAACCAACTTCTAATTACCCATAATACAACTGAAACCCTTACTTCTCTGATCATTGTAGCCACATGATAATCTTTGATGGTTCATTGGGATAAAAAAAAAATCTGCAACTTCATCTTCTTCTTTCTCCTTTTTCTTCGTTTGTCTGAATTTTCTTTTTTTTTTTTATATATATATGAATATGTCCACGCTCAAACCTACTGAGTGGGTAGCAATAAAATGTAAAATAATATTTTGAACTTCATTAATAGTTGTAATTTTTTGATTATATAGATCAATGATGAGTATTCATTTTTCAATACCATATCGAAAATATCAAAGTCGGTACCATAAAAAGACCCAAACCAGAAACGAATGGAGCCACAATTTTGACTGATGACAAGACGCATAGAGTGGCATTTAAGACTTAAGACCATTAGAAAAGAAAAGTCCCCCACTTAGAGGTAGAGGTAGAGCTAGTCCATCGTACGTATGGAACTATTCATGAATCGAATCTCTTCCACTTCCGTACCCTTTGTTTTTGAAAAGTAAAGAGAAGTCTTATCGGGAAAGAAAAATGCAGACGAATACCTCTGTGCCTTAACAAGAGAGAAAAGTGAATGGCTAGAATTGATGATTACAACGAATGACCGACCTCTCTACTAAGATCAAAACCCAAACCACTTAGTTGATTTTCACAGGCTATGGGACGAAGACGAAGAAGATCGGGAAGGGTTCAATTGGAATCCAAAGTTCTTGTAGATGAAAAAGCAGAGAAATGGATAAAGCACTATAGCAGTTCTCACAATATTTTGCTAGTTGGTGAGGGAGACTTCTCCTTTGCCGCAAGCTTAGCAGAAGCATTTGGATCTGCGTCAAATATGGTTGCCACCTCTCTTGACTCTAAAGGTATGGATATATGCACCATAGTTTCTTGGAGCATTCTTTGACAGTACTCAAAATTTTTTTCGCTCATTTGAACAAAAGTACTCTGGATAATATTTTTCATCATCGTTATGAATATGTTTTATCGTCGAGAATCATTCGATTACTTTGTGGGTACGTGTTGTCTAACTGAAAAACTTTTTGTCATGAATGCCAAACCAAAGTGACATTGGTGACAAAACATCCTACTGCAGTGGCGAACCTGAAGAAACTGGAGGATTATGGGTGCACCATTGTGCATGAAGTGGATGCCAACACCATGAGCCAACATCCTCTTCTCAAAGTGAAAGCATTTGACAGAATTGTATTTAATTTTCCTCATGCTGGTTTAAATTACTTCATGTGTGAACACAGCATGGTCCAAATTGAGTAAGTCTGAACCCATGATCATTTTTCTTTCCCAAGTACAATACTTCACTAAATCATAAGAATGGCCTTGGATAATAAGTCAATTTTTTTTTTTATTTATTTTCAGGCTTCATCAGAATGTTGTTAAGGGATTCTTGATGAATGCACGTGATATGTTAACAGAGAATGGTCAAGTGCACGTGACTCATAAGACATCGTACCCGTTTACTTTGTGGGAAATAACAAAACTAGCAGAGGAGGGTGGGTTGCAGTTGGTGGAAGAAGTGCCTTTCACCAAATGGGATTATCCAGGGTACCATAATAAAAGAGCATATGGGTATAAAAGCAACAGGGCATTCCCTGTCGGAGAATGCAGTACTTTCAAATTTGCCAAAGCTGCGTCAAAATTTTCGAATCTATTCGATTCTATATTAATTTATTGAACTTGCAAAAATCGAATAAAAATATGAAAGTATTTTTTATCTTTTGATTAAATCGAGTAAGAATGTAAAATACCAATTAATTTTTGCATTCCTACCTTACTCTACCCGCAAATATATATTTAATTTTTTTATATATTTTTTAATAATTATAAGAGTATTTGAGTAGTATAATTTATATTATAACATTGTTATTGTTGTAGATGTTTAAGTTGTTAAAACATGAAGTTGTTTTTTATATATGTTTTATGATATGCAGTGAACTGATGATCTATTGGAACAATTATGATTTTATATTTGTGTAACAATTATGATAGATTGATATTCATGTTTTCTTATATTTTATTATAATTATTGTTGTAATTATTTTATGTTTTAGTGTTATTGATTTATTGTGTTGTTAAATTAGTGTATGTTAATTAATTGAATTGTTAAAATGATCCAAAAATTAATAGTTATAAAAGTGTTTATCCAACTTCCTATTTGACTTCTTATCCGATTAATCGGGTAAGAATACTACAACTGATCGGGTATGGTAGGTTAAGAAAAAAAAATTTCTACAAAATATCGAGTAGGAAGACGAAAAATTATATTTCTTATCTGTAGGATAGGGTGAACACCCTAAGTCATAATGTCCCCCAATCTTTCTTTGGCTTAGTTATTCCAATCAATATCGCTTAAGTGATCATCATTTATTATTTTATTTTTTTTTGAGTTCAACGGTCAAGATATCCGGATCAATTTATATTTACTTTGACTAATTTTTTCATCAATTCAGTTAAAAATAGGTCATTTATGTCAGAATTAGAGTATTCATGATGAATAAATTTTTTATGGTTTAAACCCAATAATTGTCAAAATTTGAATTTATTATATACATATTTACAATTCATTTTTGTTACCACTTGAACTTATTTGAATTAATATTCATCATTTACGAAGCTATGAATCCTTTATTAGAGTTTTGTTGGTGATCCACAATTACTCTGTTAGTGATTATGACTCGCCAAAACTATAGAACTTTCGGTGCAATGACACTACAATACGGGAAAAATAAAAAAAAAGAGCCTAAAGTAGTGGGAAGAGGGGGGGGGGGGGGGGGGGAACTAGTAAGGTCACTAGGATGGAAGAATTATAATGTCTTATCTCTGTGTGTAATCTGCTTGATATGGATTTTAAAGGGCCAAAATTTACATGGTCAAATAATAGGCCGGGGATAGCAAATGTGCAAGAAAGATTGGACAGAGTATTAGTCAATCGTGTATAGAGTATGTGTCATCCCTTTATGCAGGTTATTCATGAAGTCAGGGTCGGATCGGACCATTGCTCCATCATCATCATTTTGGAGCCATTGTCAAAGAAGAAGAATTTTTTTTTCAAATTTGAAGTTTGCTGGATGGAAGATGAAATGTGTGAGGATATTATTAAAGAGAATTTGGATGAAGAATCGACTGAAACATCGATGTTTGGTATGTCTAAGAAGTTGGATAAGTGTGGGAAGGAGCTTAAGGCGTGGAGTAGGCTGCGTTTTGGTGATGAAAGGAGAATCTTGGCGGAGCTCAAGGATCAATTGGTTGAAGTGCAAATGTCAGAGGCATCCGAGGCGAATCTGAAAAAGAAGATGGAGATCATTTCTGATATGGATGGAATTAGGAGAAGGGAGGAGCTCTTTTGGCAACAAAGATCAAGACTTCATTGGTTGCAGTCAGGTGATCAAAATACAAGGTTTTTCNTTGATTAATATTCAGTTTTAATTGTTTATTAGAGTCACGTAAATCCAATGATATCAACGAATTAGAATAATAAATTAGATAAATGATTCGCTTCGATTATGATTATGATTAATATTAATTACATGCTGTATGATGGGTTAGAAGGATAACGAAGCGAGAGAGTAGGTAGACCAAAGTGGATGGTTAGACAATCACAACCAAAAATAAATAATTAAAACTTAGCTACACCTTTCGAATAAATTAAGAAATAATTAAGGTTAACTTTGAGAGTTGATTTCGCATTGGCATGAGCAATGTCATAAGCCTTAATTCATTATAATCACTAGATAAATTGTAAATTTTAAAGTTAGATCAATGAAATTCATTTTAAATTCAACAAGTGTACGTAATTAATTAAGTTTCTAAATTAAATATAAATTACATTTTTTAAACAATATTAGAAACTAAAAAATCCAAATGACAACTAAATATGTATACATGTCCTGGTTGCACTACAACAAAAAATATTTTTTCCGAAAAATTGAAAAAGTTGTAATATTGTAAACTCTAATTTTGATTTTCTTTTGGAACAAAATGTGTCTTCCAATGTGAGTCAAAACTGTTGTTCACTCCTAGTTTAAATAACTAGTTAACGACGTAAGCATATGAAATCATCTGCAATGCTTGCTGCTGGAATCTGAGTAGTGATTTCCCTTCAACACGTTACGCTGAACTTGAATGGAGTAACCGAATAACAGTTCAAAATGATTCAGTCTTTTTTTTTTTTNGGGGGGGGAAGTAAAAAAGGGAGGTTTTTTTTTTTTACATAATTAACTATTTTTGTTTGATTAATATTCAGTTTTAATTGTTTATTAGAGTCACGTAAATCCAATGATATCAACGAATTAGAATAATAAATTAGATAAATGATTCGCTTCGATTATGATTATGATTAATATTAATTACATGCTGTATGATGGGTTAGAAGGATAACGAAGCGAGAGAGTAGGTAGACCAAAGTGGATGGTTAGACAATCACAACCAAAAATAAATAATTAAAACTTAGCTACACCTTTCGAATAAATTAAGAAATAATTAAGGTTAACTTTGAGAGTTGATTTCGCATTGGCATGAGCAATATCATAAGCCTTAATTCATTATAATCACTAGATAAATTGTAAATTTTAAAGTTAGATCAATGAAATTCATTTTAAAATTCAACAAGTGTACGTAATTAATTAAGTTTCTAAATTAAATATAAATTACATTTTTTAAACAATATTAGAAACTAAAAAATCCAAATGACAACTAAATATGTATACATGTCCTGGTTGCACTACAACAAAAAATATTTTTTCCGAAAAATTGAAAAAGTTGTAATATTGTAAACTCTAATTTTGATTTTCTTTTGGAACAAAATGTGTCTTCCAATGTGAGTCAAAACTGTTGTTCACTCCTAGTTTAAATAACTAGTTAACGACGTAAGCATATGAAATCATCTGCAATGCTTGCTGCTGGAATCTGAGTAGTGATTTCCCTTCAACACGTTACGCTGAACTTGAACGGAGTAACCGAATAACAGTTCAAAATGATTCAGTCTTTTTTTTTTTTGGTACTGGATGACTCAGTCTTTCAAACCGTGGTTTTTACTCGTTAACTTAATGACTACATTTAATATCCACTTCAAAACCTAAATAATTAAAGTAACCCATATTAAAAGTATACACAAAATGACAGATTTTTAGTCGTCATTATGATGCTAATTGGATCATAAGAAGATCAAATATTTGTATATAGACTTAAATTAATCAAATATGATGTGACAACCTCTTATTGGAATAATCATCGATAAAAAATAATAATATACATTAGACAAGACACATTTCGTATAAAAAATAATGATGAATCATGACCTCATTGGTCTCTCAGGCTGGAAATCTAAGATGCTTCTCTCAACCAACAGATTGACATGGACAATTTATCTGAAAATTCCTAAAAACCAGAAAACATAATTATTGAGAGTAGTAATGTTATTTAGATCTAAAATTTTAATTTAATTTATTAATCTAATGATGTGATTGCATTATAACTTTTGAATTGACATTAAATTTTAATGTTTGATAGGAACTATAATCAATCAAAAGGTCATAATAATTAGGCTAATAAATTAGATTACAATAGCATTGAAATAAGAGCAGTGAATTTGAAGAGGCATGCGTCACCATTGTGGTTTACATTCCCAGTGCAATTCTTATAAATACAAGTACCAAAATCAAATTATAAATCCCAGAATCAGCATTATAGCAAGAGTACCCAATAGTATCTAGGTTTTTACTTGCCAATGTAGACCAATACAGAATGGCGTCCAAAGTTTTTGTGGAAGATAAAGCAGAGAAATGGATAAAACACTACAACAGTTCTCACAAGATTTTGCTTGTCGGTGAGGGAGATTTCTCCTTTTCAGCATGCTTAGCAAAATTATTTGGATCTGCGTCAAATATGGTTGCCACCTCTCTTGACTCTAAAGGTATGTCATAGTTTCTTCTCTTTGGAGCATTCCATACCATGACAGTATGATAATACTCACTGCGAGAATTTTTTTGAATAGCCGACGTTTATAAACGCCGACAAAGTCCATACAAATGTCAGCGATGAACATTTACAGTGTTTGTTGCAAACGGCGTCTATATTGCCGTCAGGAAAGATGCCAGCATTTTTCTAAACGCCAAAAAATGTAATCCGGCCCTTGTCTCAGCAAAAAACCAAATTATCTAGATAACAATAGATCTCTTCTGATCGAAACATCGTATCTCTAATACTTTTTTGCATGCAAACCAAAGAGGCATTAGGGGAAAAGCATCCTACTGTGGTGACCAACCTAAAGAAACTGGAGGACTATGGGTGCAACATTGTGCATGGATTGGACGACTGCACCATGAGCCAACACCCTCTACTCAATCTGAAAACATTCGATAGAATTGTATTTAAGTTTCCTCATGTTGGTTTCCTCTTGTCTGAACACGGCAAGCTCCTAACAAAAGGTGGAGAAGTGCACGTGACTCACAAGACAGCACATCCTTTCAGTATGTGGAACAAAGAGAGGTTAGCAGAGGAGGCTGGGTTGCACTTGGTTGAAGAAGTATACTTCACCACACGGGATTACTCGGGTTATGAAAATAAAAGAGGAGATGGGTATAGAAGCAATGATACCTTCCCTGTTGGACAATGCAGTACATTCAAATTTTATAAGTGATGATGTCCAGCTATCTCTCTTTGGCTCAATTAGTTATCCTAATCAAGATCTCTTTAAGTGATCATCATTATTAGAGATGATTTCACATCAAGAGCTTTAAAAAATGTAAGGGAAAACGATATTAGAAACAAGAAATTCCTGGTTAATCATGGATCTTATGCACTAGTGATAAATAATGGGTTCCACTTGCATTAATGATAGATAATTTAANACGATATTAAAAACAAGAAATTTCAGGTTAATCAAGAATCTTATGCACTAGATAGAGTAATTCTACTTGAACTTAAAATGTTAACTTAATTAAAAATTGTTATTGATTTAACTGAGGGTCCTACTATTTATTGAAACCCACTACATATTTAATAATTGTGATTCTTGAAGTCAAAAAATTAAGTAAGCATTTTAAGTCCAAATTGCATTTTTCCTAATAGATCACACCCTAGGTATGAGGTGAGGGGCTCACTTATAAATAATGGGTTCCACTTGCTTTAATGATAGATAATTTAACAATGAGTAAAATTGAGCAAAAATATAATGAAAAGCATCTTAATCCCATGGTATTGATGGTAACTCCGTTTTATCTGAAATAAAATCTACATCGCAATATGAATCAAGGCAATTGTTCACTCTCTTTTTCCTCCACTTCAAGGAATTAGTTGTGTCACCACCCAATAATATAAGTAGACAAGCGAATCCTACAAAGTTTAATAATACCCTATCTATATAAGATAATAACTACTTATGCAATAAAATGAAGTTCATTTTGACCACTTATTGTTTGTCATTACATAGTGCCACCACGTATCAATGGTGACTTAATGTCGCCACAACACCATGACTTTTGAATAGTCACCGAAGTAGTTGAACTTGGGAAGTGGATGATCCCACTTGTGGAATCTTTAGTGAGTCCCTTCAACACGTTACACCGGAGGGGAATGAATAAGGATTGCTATTGATTTGATCTTTGAAATTGCGATTTCTGGTGGTATAGAAGAATAAGGACAATGAGTAGGAGGAGGAGGAGGAACAGAAGGAGGTGGAAGAGTAGAAGGAGTAGGATGGAGGGGAAAGAGTGATGATAAGGAGAAAGACAATGAGAAGGAGAAAGGGAAAAATGAAAAGAGGGAGGAAAAGAATGAAGGAGGAGGAAACAACCCAAATAATAAGAAAGAGTAGAAGAAAAAGGAGAAGTATGAGGAGGAAATAGAAGAGAAGGAAAGAGGGATAAAGAGCATAAAAGGAGAAAGAGAAGGAAAAGGAGCAAAATCAGGAGGAAGAAGAAGTGAGGAGAAAAAGACGGAGGAGGACAATGAGAATGAGGAGGAAAAACGAGAGAAAGAATGAGGGAGGAAAAAAAGAAGGATAAGGAGGAAGAAAATGGAAGTGAGAAACATTGGTGAATTGTGAGAAACAAAAACTAAAATAAAATTGGAGAAGGAAACGGAAAAGGAAAAGGGGAAGAAGGAAGGAGAGGGAGAAGGAAGACAAGGAGAAAAGCTGAGGAAGAAGGAGAAGAAAAGTCACTTGATAGATCAAAATTTATTATCAATCCCATTTTGCCCTTGAAAGATACTAAAATGCTCAGTTTGGCCTCCCAAATAATTAATTTTCCACATTTTTCCCTCAAAGAAATAAAAACGTTGCAATGTATTCCACCGTCTTATTTTGGTTTGGTTGTCCATCTGTTTTGTACCAAATCAAACAATCAGGAATCACAAAACAGATGGACGATCAAATGAAAATAAAAAAAAAAAAAAGAAATAAGATAGTGGATCACATTGCAACATTTTTATAAGTTTATAGGGGTAATGTGGGAAAATTAATCATTCATAAGGCAAACAGAGAATTTTTGTATCTTTTAGGGGGGAAATGAAATTTTTTCTAAATTTTATAGCAGCTTCGAGGAACATCAGTGAATTGTGAGAAACAGAAACTAAAACAGAATTGGAGAAGGAAAAGAGGAAGGAGGAGAAGGTGAAAAAATAAAAGGAAGGAGAGGAAGAAGAAGAATGAAGGAAAAGCAGGAGTAGAAAAAGCATAATAGCACTAAGTCAATATTACAAAGTACTCTTTTGCGATGGGCATACATTGATGGAAAGAAAGAAGAAGGAAAATGATAGGAATAGGAAGAAAGAAGAAGAAGAAAAAGGTGAAAGAGAGAAACAATAAAAAAGAGTAGAAAAGAAAAAGAGGAAAAGAAGGGAGGAGAAAGAAGAAAAGAGAGAGAAAGAAGGATAGAGGAGAAAGAGAATAATGATGGGAAGGAAAAAAAGGAGGAAAAAGAGGAGAAGAGAAGAAAAAGAAGTAGGAAGAGATGCAGAAAAAAAGGAGAAATAGAAGAGGAAAAAGGAGCACGGGAGAAGAAAAAGAATAAAAGGGAGGACAATTGGGAGGAAGAAGGAGTGGGGAGAAAGAGGAGGAGGAAGATAATGAAGGAGTAAAAGAAGAAAAAAAATAGCACTAAGTAAATATTATAAAATACTCTTTTACGATGGGCATACATTGGTGGAGAGGAAGAAAAATGAGAATGATAGGAATAAGAATAAAGTGGAATATTAAAAAAAGAAGGTGAAGGAGAGGAATAATAAGAAAGAGTTTAAGAAAAAGGAANGGAATAATAAGAAAAGTTTAAGCAAAAGGAATAGGAGGAGGAAGAAGAAGTAGAAAGGATAAGGAAGTAGAAAAGAGAAGGATGGAAGTGAAAGAGAAGGATGATAAGGAGGATAATGACAAATAGAAGTAAGAGGAAAAGATAGGGGAGAAGAATGAAGAAGAGGGAGAATGAGGACGAAGAAGAGGGAGAACAATCCAGAATATGAAAGAGTAGAAGAAAAAGGACGAGAAGGACGAGAGTGGAGAGGGGATAAAAATGAGGAGGAAATAGAAGATAAGGAAAGAGGGAGAAGGAAAAATGAGAGGAAAGAGAAGGAATAGTAGAAAAATCAGGAGGAAGAAGTGAGGAGAAAGAGAAGAAGAATAAGGAGGACAATGAAAAGGAGAAGAAGGAAAACAAGAGGAAGAATAAGGGAGGAGAAAGAGAAGGATAAATAGGAAGAGAATGGAAAGGGGAAGGATAAGAAAAAGGAGAGAATGAGAAGGAAAAGGAAAAAGAGAAGAGAAGAGCAATCACTCGAAAGATTCAAATTTAAAACGACTCTGAAGAATATTAGTGAATTGCAAGAAACAAAAACAAAAATAGAATCAGAGAAGGAAAAGGTGAAAAAGGAGAAGAAAAAAGAGAACGAAAGAAAGGGAAAAGGAAGAAGAAGTAAAGAAGTCACTCGAAATATCAAAATTTAGGGTCAATGAGTGACAACTAGTTCAGTGGTGCTATAAAAAACAGTCTTCTATGTGCTATCAAAGCTACTTGTCCCTTCTCCTTTTCTTTCAGTCAAGGTCTAACCTCGCATAGCTAATGAAAGGGAATATCTTACAACAGAACGTGGTCAATACGCACAACGCCAAGTATCCATCGTTTATGGCTAAGACTACTAGGGTATCTAATCTCATTCGCTCCCCTAGCTTTCGTCTCTCAATGTCAATGTCAACCCAGCAGAGTGCTTTCGACGTTAGTGTTCTTTCTAATCTCTACCCATTTCACTGCTCCACCGAAAATTTCCTCAACCCCTACTGTACTCCAGGTTGGTAGTTTCCACCGCCAGTCCAAGGTTGAGCCCTAGGATTTGACGACAGACTTTTCTAAGAGGAGGAAGGAGGGAGGAGAAGGAAGAAAAGAGAGAGAAAGAAGAATATAGAAGAAAGCGAATAACGATGATGATGATGATGAGAGGACAATGAGAAGGAAAATGAGGAAAAAAGGGAGGACAAAGAGGAGAAGAATGAAGGAGGAGGAGAAGAAGAAATAGAAGGAGAAAAATAAGCAAAAGGAGTAGGAAGAGATGTAGAAGAAAGAGAAATAGAAGAGGAAGAAAAGAGCATGGGAGGAGAAAAAGAAGAAAAGAGAGGAAAATTGGGAGGAAGGAGTGTGGGGAAAGAAAAGGGTGAAAGAGTAAAAGAAGAAGAATAGTACTAAGTCAATATTACAAAGTACTCTTTTACAATAGGCATACATTGGTAGAGAGGAAGAAGGAGAATGATAGGAATAAAAACAAAACGGAGTAGAAGAAGAAGGTGAATGAGAGGAATAATAAAAAAGTTTAAGAAAAATGAAAAGGGGAAAAAAGAAAAGGAAAAGGAAAAGGAAGAGGAAGAGAAGGAAAGAGAGGAAGAAGGAATGAGAGGAGGAAAAGCTGAGGAAGAAATAAGGAAGAAAAGTCGCTCGACAAATTAAAATTTAGGGTCAATAACATTTTGTCCCTAAAAGATACAAAAACGCACAGTTTGCCCCAAAATGATTAATTTTCCCATATTGTCCCTTAAAGAAATAAAAACATTGCAATGTGATCCACCGTCTTATTTTCATTGATTGTCCATCTATTTTTTTGCACCAAATCAACCAATCAAAAATCACACAATAGACAAATGACTAAATGAAAAAAAAAATTACAACAATGGATCACATTGCAATATTTTTATTTTTTTAAGGGGGCAATATGAGAAAATTAATTGTTCATGAGGCAAACCGAAAATTTTTGTATCTTTTCCATTTTTTCCAAAATTTATGACGACTTTGAGGAACTATGAAATAGAATCTATCTTCTGCAGTCTATCACTAAAACTACAGAATGACTGACTATGACAATTGGTCAGGAATAGAAATTTCTCTTCATGTCTGTCATTCATTACATATTTAAGTTTTTCTCTTGCTACATTAGAGCAGAATAATAAAAAATTTCCTGCCAAAATGCACCGGAAATTGCCAATGGTTAGATTCTGCAAAGAAAAGAGTGCATGCTCAACCTAGAGAGACTTTTTATTAGCTTCAAAATCGAAAGGATTTCTAGTCTATAGCTTATTTGTATGATTGAAATTTGAGAGGTGAAAGATAATATCATTAGACTAGATCAAGTATGGGTTTTGAGACACGTCTATTGAATCAATAGATGACTGACAAGATAGCAAGTCATGTCCAGGCCTAGTTCTAAGCCGTAAGCTCTTCCACTCTCATCTTCTGTTAAAAAACAAAGTCATGAAAAATTGTGCCTGCTTGTTTTCTACCTAACAATGAAAAAAGAAGTAAAGAACTACCATGCTCGGAATTATTACCTCGCTCAGTTGGATGAGATGCATGGCATGGAGAACTGAGCCAGTAGCCACACAGACCTGGATTTCCTATGAAGCTGTGAACAAAAAAAATTAGTATAGGCCCAGATAGGAATACTCAGTCAGTTGATATTGTTTAGTGCAGCTCGGTTGTGATATTACAAGAGAAAATCCTCAAGTGGCAAATTATTTGGGAATCATCTAACCTATCTGGTGAAAACCTCGAGAAGTTTTTGCCCGTAGGAATATCCCCAACCAGATTATTATAAGATACATTTCTGCAAAAAACAATTTGATTTCACAATCAATTCTAGTTGTCTTACTTTATTACATGTTAATATGTTAACTACATTGCAAACTTACAGGACCGTAAGACTGAGGCAATTGACCAGAGACATTACATCTCCTGATAAATTGTTGTTCTCCACTTTCCTGCAATTATTATTTTGATCAAGATATTATAATATAAAGAATAAACAATAAAGGAATTATTCTTAATGTTAAGCTTAAACAGACTTACAACAATAAAACATTTTGAAGCTGACCAAGCTCTTGCGGTATTGGACCAGAAATGTGGTTATTTGACAGATCTCTGAAATGAAAAAGCATTATTCACAAGCTTGGAAGCTGAAAAATAAAACTCGTAATAGTAAACAGAATCGTGCATTTAAATACTTCCTCACATTTCCATGACACTACTTAGATTACCAAACTCGGCTGGTATAAAACCAGTCAACTCATTCTTGCTTAAATTCCTACCACATAAAAAGAAAGGAAGTGAGCTATATGATGAAAACTCTATTGAACAGGAATCACCAAATGGTGAAACTCACAGTTTTTGCAGGTGTTCCAAGTCACCAAGGGAAGAAGGTATGGAACCACTAATCCTATTACTTGAGAGGTCTCTGATTCACCAAAACAGGCCAAAAATACAAGTCATATTTCAAGAACTAAAAAGTAGTAGAAGTATTACAGTCAACAAAAAGGAATTTACCACTTACAAAGTAACCAAATTACCAATCTGGGACAGCTCAATTGGAATGGGAGCCATAAGATTGTTAGAGGATAGATTCCTAGAGATGATGAGGAAAAGCATAAGCAAAGCCATCAAGCACTCAAATCACTCGAGAAAGAATTGTGACTGATAAAATGTAAACAAATATTATAGATGCGCACATGGATCGGATGACATTGCAATGAGCCAATGAAGAATTGTAAGATAGATGGCAGAAGCAAATACGAATCTAGGCAACATGAATGGTGCATCTTCCATCCTCATAACCAATAGAAAAACATGCAGTACCATTTGAACCATTTGGCAGGTCGGTTAAAAAAAATAATTATTTAGTACTAACAAAACTGCATGAAAATCTTCAAAATAAGTCTTTAGTTGAAGAGTGGAACTCACAAATAAGTCATACTTTCCAGTCTCTGAAATGCAGGAGGGATGGTCCCATTCAATTTGTTCCCGTGCACATTGCTGCCATCAAATTATTGGGTCAATGACCATCCTCAACAGACACAATATTTTTAAAAATAAAGGTAAAAAGGAACATAACAGGAGATTGAGGTGGAATGCTTACAGGCTGTTGAGATTTGTGCATGAGCTAAGATTATCAGGTATATGCTCATCAAGGTTGTTGTTAGAAACATTTCTGCAAGCATTTAGTGTTAGTAACTTTATAAAGAAAAGCAGACCCCAGCTCAATTAACACTTTTAGGGAAACAGGACATACAGGTCAAACAAGTCCGTAAGCCTCCCAAGTTCGGGAGGGATATGCCCAGTGAGCCGATTGTCGTTCAGTTCCCTGCAAAGGCAAAAATGAAACAATTGAATAGCGAATATTTCTGAATATGCATGACTAGCAAACATCAAGTAGCACTCTTAGTTATTACAACGCTGCTGACATGCAATGTGCTCCTAATGAACCAGTTCAACAGTGCATAAGTACAGAGTATTTTTAGTAGAAGAAGGGGGGGGGGGGTTGAATATATTATTGGGTTATGATATATAATGCCTGAAAAAAGTGTCCAATAGCAGGCAGTTCTGATGACTGTGTAAATCACATAATCAACTAGCAACTTCAATATGAAGTATCTCCTGACTTGAAGACCATCCAAATGCGTCCGCTTCAGTTTGGAAAATCTTTAACAAGAAAAATCAAGAGCACCAAAAAACAAGAGGTTTGAAAATAGCCAACAAAATGTGTCATACAGATAGTGGAGCTTTGTCATATTCCCAAGCTCTGGGGGAATGGATCCAGTCAGCTTGTTTCCATGCAGATACCTATGTCATAAAGAAATTCTGTCAAAATATTAAACTTGACATACAGGTGGATGTCTTGAATAAATAGAGTTGTACACCAAGTGCTCAATTAACTTGACAATACCTTGACTGATATATTTAAATACTAATAACAAACATGAAAATTGCAGGATGCAAGATGGCAATGGACATTCATTAAATAGAAAGCCTACTGCTATCTGTTCTTTATAACTTTTGAAGACACAAAACCTATGAGTAAAATAAAACAAATTGACAAAAACACAGATGCTGTGCTTACAATTTCTCTGTGTAAGTCAAATTTCCAAGGATGGGAGGGATCAGTCCACTCAGCGTATTGCAGCTTAAATCTCTGAAGACAACAGAAATAGCGACACATGTAGGGTAAGAAGAAAATCTAAATGAAAGAAGTCAAAAGAATTCCATGCTGTTGAGACATTAAGTTGAGATGACAAGAATAGTAAAGCACTTACAACAATGCGAGTGCCTGCATCAAGCCAATGACTGATGGGATCTGCCCTGGAAGCTGATTTCCTTGCCAAGATCTAGCATGCACCAGAAATTCATTCCCATTTAAAGACAAACACTTACTCAAGATACCCAGTGAATTGCTTATACTTACAACGTAGCTACTTGCAAGAACCCAATATTGAATGGAATCTCTCCAGTCACTTTGTTGTAAGACAAAATCCCTATCAGCAAAAATTTATAAGGATATTCTAATTAACCACAAAAAGTATCATCCAGAAGTTGGTCACAATATGTTAGTGGAGGTACATACAAGACCTGGANATCCCTATCTGCAAAATTTATAAGGATATTCTAATTAACCACAAAAAGTATCATCCAGAAGTTGGTCACAATATGTTAGTGGAGGTACATACAAGACCTGGAAGGCAGTGCAATTGCCTAAGTTCTCAGGAATGGTACCAGTCAAACTATTGTTTCTAACATCACTGTNAATCCCTATCAGCAAAAATTTATAAGGATATTCTAATTAACCACAAAAAGTATCATCCAGAAGTTGGTCACAATATGTTAGTGGAGGTACATACAAGACCTGGAAGGCAGTGCAATTGCCTAAGTTCTCAGGAATGGTACCAGTCAAACTATTGTTTCTAACATCACTGTAAAAAGAGGAAAACTAGTAGGTATCAGCAATTGGCCTGTTATAACAGAAAATAGAAAAGGAGAATTAAAATTAAACTAGTGATCAAGAACTTATAAATACCACAACCCTGTTAGCTGACACATATCAGGAGAGAGTGTACCAACTAAGTTGTTCCCTCGCAATCCCCTAAGCTGAGTAGATAAACAAAATGGGCTCATAATTCATGAATCACCAAGCCACCAGGACAAGGCAGTTCGATACATCAACTACTAATACACTTGCAGATATTGCAAAACTTCGTTCCAATATATGAGCCTTGGAATTTCCCCGCTCAGCTTATTCTGTGCCAGGTCCCCAGATATAAGTATTTTGAATAGTCAAAACCCTAGAATCCACTAAGAAGAATAAATGTGACAAACTATGGTGACATTATTGACTAGAATGATAACTTTGCCTTGTGGCTTAAAGCCTAATTTAAAATAAAAGAGACATAAACAATAGGAAAACAGAAAATGACATGAAATAGGAATGCTAATTGATAGCTCCAAATTAAATTCTAATTCCAAAAAAATAAAAACAAACCAACTTTTGAATCTGTTCTATATCAACCCCCTTTGAAAAACTCGCCCTTTGGGTTCCTATTAAATAAACTGGAATGCAGGTATTTATCCACATCCATTTTATATTAAACTTCAATCGCATCCAGCACTAATTTATATAAATTACTTGGATGTGGTGGTAAATTCTTCCTACCATTAGTTGTCTATAGGGATCTGGGATTCGGTATTGAATCAATCCTTAACTTCGTTTGGTCACTTTAGAAGTCATATAAAATACCTAATTCTATTGAGTTGATTCCATCCCCTCAATGTAAGCTTTACTTGCACATACAGCTGCCCATCCCTCAANATAAATACCACAACCCTGTTAGCTGACACATATCAGGAGAGAGTGTACCAACTAAGTTGTTCCCTCGCAATCCCCTAAGCTGAGTAGATAAACAAAATGGGCTCATAATTCATGAATCACCAAGCCACCAGGACAAGGCAGTTCGATACATCAACTACTAATACACTTGCAGATATTGCAAAACTTCGTTCCAATATATGAGCCTTGGAATTTCCCCGCTCAGCTTATTCTGTGCCAGGTCCCCGGATATAAGTATTTTGAATAGTCAAAACCCTAGAATCCACTAAGAAGAATAAATGTGACAAACTATGGTGACATTATTGACTAGAATGATAACTTTGCCTTGTGGCTTAAAGCCTAATTTAAAATAAAAGAGACATAAACAATAGGAAAACAGAAAATGACATGAAATAGGAATACTAATTGATAGCTCCAAATTAAATTCTAATTCCAAAAAAATAAAAACAAACCAACTTTTGAATCTGTTCTATATCATCCCCTTTTGAAAAACTCGCCCTTTGGGTTCCTATTAAATAAACTGGAATGCAGGTATTTATCCACATCCATTTTATATTAAACTTCAATCGCATCCAGCACTAATTTATATAAATTACTTGGATGTGGTGGTAAATTCTTCCTACCATTAGTTGTCTATAGGGATCTGGGATTCGGTATTGAATCAATCCTTAACTTCGTTTGGTCACTTTAGAAGTCATATAAAATACCTAATTCTATTGAGTTGATTCCATCCCCTCAATGTAAGCTTTACTTGCACATACAGCTGCCCATCCCTCAATAACCTCTTCCACCATATGCTGAAGCCAGTGCTACCTTTCAATGGTAGGACTCCAGAGTGCCCCTTGGTTTAACATATACTGGACTCCTCTTCCCTAATACCGGGGCTCTACTTTCTTGAGATAATCTGCTGCACTAATTGTTGCATTATTTGCAATTTTGGATCCACTCTATTGTCGGGCTTTGTTACATGCCCACTTTTTCTACTACAGATGTGATGTAGAAGGGTATAGCAGCTAAACAAGGACTTGAAATAATCGCTATCTTCATGAGGTCTCAACTACCCGCTATGCTTTCTTGTCAGCTTCAATTCACTTCCATTGGCCTATTATTCATGCTTCTCTCTGCCCATGGAAGTACTTGAAATAAATCTGTGGCACAAATCTTAAGGGTTCAAAGTCAAAAAGTCTTTGACACTTCTTCCAAATATCCGCACCTGCTGTGATTTGACACAAAGTTGCATCCACATTGTACTCTTTAGTGCTGTGAAAACCATTATGACAAAATCTTAACTTGAATTGACTGTGGTAGCTTTAACTCCCCTTGTCGTCTCATTAATTAATATCCAACCTACTCATCCCTAGAATAATACGCAAAACTATAAATACCTACATGACTGAATTCTTGGTTTCACCAAGTCAATACGAGCGCATGTCAAATCTCCCAAATGTTTGATCAAGTCGTATGTGATAGAATATTAATATTAAGGATAGTTTAGGCATTTTTTTTATGTTGTGTTTCCCTACTATATAAGACTTGTTTATTGTGTGTATTACAGTCCAGCTTTTAGTCTATTTATATTTTCTCCCTTTTTCTTCACTACTCTCTTTTATCGTTGTTGAACAATTCTAACATGGTATCGGAGCCATTATAATTCAAGACCTAAGATTACATAAAGCAGAAAGATGGAGGATTTTTTTTTTTTTTGGGCTATCAGAGAATGATGTCAACATCGCCAGTGATGACATCATGCTGATGTCATCCTTTTCCGACCGTGAAAACCACTGTTAGACTCAAAATCTCATGGGTTTTCTATTTGTAAGATTCATTTTTTTTATTTTGAGCTCATCTCATAGGTGTTTTTATTTTTTGAATATTTTCGGGCAAAATTGTCAAAATTCTTCGATCTATCAAAAAACAAGGGTTTTTTGCTACAATTTTTTGTTCAAATCTTCTCTAAAATCAAGCCAAAAAATCTTCTCATATCTTCCATAATCCTCTCTTGGGAGACAAGAAGCTTCTGAGGAATTTTTTGGCTTGATTTTGGCCATTCGAGGGCTTCAATATCGCTGTCGCCACTGGTTTTTGATGCCATTGGTTTCCGATGTCAGCGTCTACTATTGTGGTTTGTCTTTTTCGTATCTGGAATTTCTTTGTGTGTTGTGTGGATTGCTTTGATCTTCGGCTACTTTGTGGGGGTGCTTCAACAGTGGTGTTATTGTAGTGGCTTCAAAAGTGGTGTTTGACTTGTTATTATTTGGTGGCTTTGGTTGTGGTGTTTGGCCCTGTCCAATCTAATTTTGCAAAGAAGTATCAACTAGAGTATGAGATTCAAGATGCACGTCAAGGGGACAAAAACATAGAAGAATTCAACTCAGTTATGATTGAATTTTGGGATTAGTTAGTGCTTATTGAACCCACTGAGTTGAGCACTAATCTAACATATCGCACCTTTGAATAAAATAAAGGCTGGTGCAAGAGGGAACACGTTCCCTTCTATTATCAGCATATGTTCCCAGCTCATTTTGGGGGAAAACAAGTCTTACAACAATTCATTTGATCAACAACATTCCTGTTATTCTCACATCTGTAGTCTCCCCATTTAAAAAATTGTGTGCTAAGCCGTCTAACTATTTTTCTTTATGTTTGTTTGGTTGTACCTGCTTTGTTTTGCTCTCGTTCAACTTGATGTTTCTTTTTTGGTTAGGGTAAAGGTCAAAAAAGGTATCGTTGTTGTGATTCCATTACCCACAAACTTTATGTCTCTCGCCATGTTGTCTTTATGGAACATATTCCCTCTAATTCTTCCCCACTAAATTAGTCTGATCTGCTATATATTGATCCATTTTCTACTGATGTTCCTCATGACACATTTGTTAGTGATTCACCTGTGTCAGATCGTTCCTCTTTTGAGTCGACTATCCCTTATCCCCCTATTGTGCATACATATATTTGCAAGACTCCAGCTATCTCTTCTACGAATACGATGCCTCCCCTTTCTCTTTCTAGCGCACTCAATCAGGTTCAAACACTGTGGATCATACCTCACAGTATCCTCGGCGCTCTTGCAAATATTCAGACAAGCTTGGTTGGAGTAATACTTGTTATTCTTATGACTTTTGTTCTTTCTTTACTTCTATTTACTCTATCTAAATCCACCCCCTACTAGGAGGCTTTACTTGATCCACTTTAGAAACAGACTATTGATAAGGAATTGTCTACCTTACATAAGACCATAGCTTAGGAGCTAGTGTTTGTGCCTATATCACCTGGTAAATGCACCTCTGCCCCTGTTGCAAAGATGACTACTATTCGCACCATGACTGCAGTTAATGCCATTCGCCAATGAATTTTTTCTCAAATGGATCAGAAAAATATATTTCTTCATGGAGATTTAAGTGAAGAGTTTTTTATGACACCTCCTCCTGGACTGTCTAATAGTCTTGGTCAAGTATGTCGAGTTCACCGTACTTTATATGGCATTAAACAAGCCCCTAGGGTCTGGTCTACTAAATTTTCTTTCATTATTTGTGACTTGAGTTTTCGCGCCAGTGACCATGATTCTACTATCTTTTTACAATCTACTTCCTCAAGTTCTATTATTCTTTTGCTATATGGTAATGATATAATTATAACGGGTGATGACATTGCTAGTATACCCTTGTTGAAAACTTAGAGGCAGGATTAGTTTTAGATGAAGGATTTGAGACAACTTAGGTATTTCTTGGGCATTGAAATTGCCTCCTCTCCTAAAGACTGTCTTTTCTCTCAATTCAAGTATGCCTTTGACATTATTCAACGAACTCGCTTATCAGATAATCAAACAAATGAAACACCTTTAGAGCTCAATGTTTGCTACTCCTTGTCTAATGGTACTCCCTTGTCCGACCCAACTCTATTGCACTATCGTTGGGAGTTCAGTATATCTTATAGTCACTCGTCCGAATATCTCTTATGTTGTTCACATTGTGAGTCAATTTGTTGCCTCACCCACCTCCGTTCACAGAGCTACTATTCTTCGTATTTTTCGGTATCTCTGTGTTACTCTACATCAGATTTTACTTATTTCTCACTCTTTATCTATAGAACTCAAAGTTTACTATGATACTAACTGAGCTGGTGACTTTATGGATCGCAAGTCTACCACTAATTTCTGTCTTTTTCTAAGGGATTCTCTTATTTCTCGAAAAAATAAGAAACAAACTGTTGTTGTTCATTCTTACAAAAATAGAATCGTGGGATGAAATAGGAAGAAAGAAGAAGGAACAGAAGCAAGAAGAGGAAGAAGAATGAAGGAGGAGGAGAAGAATAACACAAAGTCAATATTACAAAGTATTTTTTTGCGATGAGCATACATTGGTGGAAAGGAAGAAGAAGGAGAATGATAGGAATAGGAAGAAAAAGGAGTAGAAGAAGAAGAATAAGGAGAGGAACAATAAGAAATACTAAAAGAAAAAAGAGGAAAAAGAAAGAGGGAGGAGAAGGGAAAGAAAAGGAGGAGGAGAGAGGAGAAGGAAGAGAAGAGAGAAAGAAGAATAGAGGAAAAAGAGGATGATGAGGTTGAGGAGGACAATGAGAAGAAAAATGAGGAAGAAAAGAAGGAGAAGAAGAAACAAAAGGAGAAAAAAAGGAGACGAAAAAGAAGAAGAGTAGGAAGAGATGGAGAAGAAAGAGAAAAAAAAAAGGAAGAAGGAGCATCGGAGGAGAAAGTTTAGGACAAGGAGGAAAATTAGGAAGAAGAATAAGTAGGAGGAGGACATGGAAGGAGTAAAATAAGAAGAAAAATATCACTGAGTGAATATAACAAAGTACTCTTTTACGATGGGCATATATTGGCAAAGAGGAAGCAAAAAGAGAATGATAGAAATAAGAAAAAAGTGGAGTAGAAAAAGAAAAAGGTGAAGGAGAGGCATAATAAGAAAGAATTTTAAAAAAAAAGTATGAGGACAAAGGAGAGAGGAAAACGAAAAGAGAAAGGAGGAGGAGAAAGGAGGATGGAGGTGGAAGAGAATGATGATAAGGAGGAGGACAATGAGAAAAAGAACGAATAAAAGGAAAAGGGGGAAAAGAAAGAAAGAGCTGAAGAAAGAGGAGAAGGAGAAGAAATAAAATGATGGAGAGGGAGAATAAGGAAAAATAAGAGGAGGAACAACCCAAATAATAAGGAAGAGGTAGGAGGAGAAGGGAAAGAAAATGAGGAGGAAATAGAAGAGAAGAAAAGAGGGAGAATGAGCATGGGAAGGGAAAGAGAACGAAGAGGAGGAAAATCGGAAGGAAGAAGAAGTGAGAAGAAAAAGGAGGACAATGAGAAGAAGAGGGAGGAAAATGAAAGGAAGAATAAAAGAGGAGAAAGAGGAGGAAAAGAATGGAAAGGAGAAAAATATTGCAATCTGCTCTACCATTTTATTTCTGTTTTGTACCAAATCAACCAATTAGGAATAACAAAACTGATAGACGACCAAATGGAAAAAAAAAAATAAGACGATAGATCACATTGTAACATTTTTATTCTTTTAAGGGACAATGGAGAAGGAAAAAGGGAAAAAAGAGAAGGAAATGGGAAAAAATGAAGGAGAGGGAAAAGGAAGAAGATGAAGAAAAGTTGAGGAAGATGGAGAAAAACTAGAGAAGAAAAGTCACTCGAAAAATCGAAATTTAGGGTCAATCCTATTTTGCCCCTGAAGGATAAAAAATGCTCAATTTGCCCTAGAATGATTAACTTTACTTTATTATCCCCTCAAAGAAATAAAAATTATTTCAATGTAATCCACCGTCTTATTTTCGTTTAGTCGTCCAT